AACAGAACTGGCAGGGATTTTGTCAGCCTTTTCAAGAAGTGCAATTTGCAGGTCCCCTGCCTCCAAGATGTTAAGAATGGAGGACAAAAAGGAGGAAGCAGCAGCCTTGAAAACAGTCAACAGCAGGAGGCAATCCCAATGGAAGCTTGGCGAGGAGCTATGTGGAGCAGACCAGGAAGCTGCCCCTGACTTTACCACAACTCTTCAATGCAATTGTTCTTGTACCAATGTCCATGGGATGGGTGTCCTTCTAAGTTTCCAGCTGCAAAAGAAAATTTACAGTGTGTACCTGCCTAGCTTTCCAAAAAGAGAAGATATCCATATCTGATTGAGGAACACTGAAAAGACTTTTCAGGAACAGGGAGCAGGGAACAGGGAGTACAAAAGTTGCAAACTTTTGTACCAACACAGTGATGGTGACTTTTAATTCTCCCAGTAGAAAGACACCCATCTTCAAGGGATTTAACCGGTATGTGCATAGTGAGAGGGTGGAAGGTCAGAATATGTTTGCAGACTTTCTTTCTTTTGTCTTACTTTGCTATAGATTAGGAATCCAGAGCAAAGTCAATAATATCACTCTTTTTCTTGATCCAAGCTGATCAATTCTGCTCTGGCAGTTCTCTTTTATTATCCCATAACTGATGCTCAGACTTGCAGTTTCACAGGCAGCCTGAGAAGGGGGCCAGAGATGCCTCAAGAGTTGGTAGTAAACTCACACCAAAACTAGCGATTGGAATGGGATCCTGTGCCAGGAAGTGTATTTTTATCTGCACTCTTCTTACTGCAGACAAGGGCAGATATTGAGAAAATAAGCCAAGTGAGAGATTATTTTTTAAGTCCTCAGGAGAGGAGGGTGGCAGGAAAGACAAGTGTTGATAGACCCAGACCAGCATAATGACAACATGGAGGGTTAGACCCTGAGGCTGCTAATAGATCTGGAGCAGAGAGGAACTCTGGGGCTGTGCTCATTATGTTGTGTTTACAAATGCAGGGGAGGGGGGGTCTCAGGCAGCACAGAGTGATTTCAGACAAGGAAGGTTTTCTGCCTTGTACTCAATCAGAATCCTTCCCTTTAAAATGCTTTCCTGTATTTTATACCCGAGTTGTTAGAATAAAAACCAGTACCCTGTAAGAATGACATTTTGGGGTGTATGGCAGAAAACTAGTGACGAACAGTACTCTCCTAAAACTAGAGTAAGTGCTGTTTCTGTCTTTCCCTAGTCTTTCCTCCTTGTTTCCCTGGCCCTAGTATTGCAGGGAGAGCCGCAGCTGCTCTCCCTGATGTGACAGGTAGTAATGACAGCTCTCAGTTCTGACCATCAAAAGGAACCTTGGAGTTGGAAATGGACAGGTGGCGAAATAAATCTTACTTAGGTGCAAACAACGTTATGCATTTCATGAAAGGACATTGACTTTGCATGGAAAGTCTCACTGGCAGCTGAGACAGAATCCTTTGGTAACATGCTTTGATACCATTCCATTCTTTGTGGAGAAGAAATTTGCTGTCAGACTCTTTAGGTTTAATTAATACATTAATGGGAGTGACTGGGAGTTGTTTTCTCCCTTTTTGGGATAACACCAGGGTGGACAGTTAACCTCTCAGTGTGAAAGAGTTCTAAGGAGTAGGTTGGATAACAGTCTGGGGTGAAATTGAAAGACCCCACTTGTAAGTAATCAGGGCTTTCAAATGGATTGATATTTATAAACTTTCTTTTAAGATACTGGCCCCTACCTAAGGATCCAGGGAAGCAAAATATAATTTTCTGGAAAACCTGAGTTTCTTATCATATAGGTTAGTGACAAAGTGATTTGCTTGGTACAATATCAATAACTTTTTCCCCCCTTTTCTGCTACTACTTGGTTCTAGGAATGTTTAGCTATGCTAGAAGGATGGGAATAATAGTATCTAAAAATTTTGCAGTTAAAGAGTAAAGGAGTATTCTCAGGTATTTTTGAAATATTTTATGTCAGAAGAGATTGTCTTACTTGCATGGCTAACGAACTGTCTTGAAAGACTACTAAAAATAGATGTAAAGGTAAGTCCTATAGCTTGGTGGTATCTTTTGTCACATCGTAGGAAGTCTTTGTAGATGAGGTCCTTGGGAGTCATAGTGGACATGAGAAAGTGTGAAGGGAAAGCCTTTGAGCCCTTTGATGATAGCCCAGAAGGAAAAGAGGTCTTGAAGCAGCCCTTGGCAGCATGGGTAGCCCTGGGCAGGCACAGCAGAGGGACAATGCCCTGGTTAGAGTGGGAAGATGTGGAGCCCATCCACTAAGACCAAGGCTAACTTTCCCGAGACGGAATTAAAAAATATTTCACTGAGCTGGGCCAGAGAGAATTGGTTTATTAGTTTGCTTTGTACACCCACTGCTTGCGGGGCCTCTAGATGCTCACAAATAACAAAGCAGCCTTTTGAAGATGTAAACAAATATCATGGGACATACCTGATTCATCCGCAGGCTCGGAATCCAAGCCTAGGGGATGAATTTAAGCAGGCAGAGAAAAAAATAAAGAACAGCGATGCTGGCACCCAGCAGTCTTTCACAGAGATGAATTCTGTGCAGGAACAGGGATGGTGATCCCTTAGTGCAGCCATGCGAGGCCCTGGAGTCTATGTACGGTGCTTGCAGGATTTACACGAGTTTTGCCTGCATGCGCAGAATTATTGTCTTGAACACCTTGATTCTGTTATGTTTACATTAGTCTCTGTGTATACATATTGATGCTAACTTTCATTTGCATATAGATGTGCACACACTATAGTGGTATGAATTCTGTTAGCACTAAACTCACAAGAAGTTTATCTCAGTTTTAAGAACAAATTAGAATTAATAGGAAAGTAGATCAATGATTTGCTGCAATTGTGCCAGTCATTGTTTTAAACATGCAAGACAGTCAGGACAGGCAGGAAACTGAGAGCCTCGGCAGGCAGAGGCTGGCTCCTTAGCTTCTGAGTCAGAAAGAAGAGTTATCCCTTTCTTTTCTCCATGTGCAAGGAGCTGCCTTCCCATCTCTCCTTGGAATTATTACAATATATCAAACATGAAGTAAAGCCAGGAAACTTTTCCACTTCCTGGCATGATGTGAGTTATCAGCTTCCTGTCACTAACACCAGAGGTGTTCAATTTATAATCAACTTGTGCTTTTGAAAGTTCCAGTTCATGGTCAGTGTGTTTAGTTGCTCTGAACCTGTGGTGAGGGAGCTCATCATGATGACACATCACAAAGAGCAAAGCTGCTCCCCTCATGCCTTGAATCCCAGGAGAGGAAGAGGAGAGGGACAGGCATCCACAGGGCCCCCCACAGGCACCCTTCGGGATGTCATGCTTCCAGTGACCCAAGACCGCCCATCCACCTTACATCTCAGGGTTTCCACTCTGGGACTAAGTTATAATCTATGAGATTTGGGGGACTTTCAAGTTCCAAACTATAGCAATGGGCAAAGAAAAAAAAAATAGGAAAATATCTGGAAGTAAAAAGCAATAGATTTTTCTTGGTGCTCAAATAACTGTAGTCAGAGCCAATCCAGGTACTTGTCTTAGTAGCCAGATACTCCATTTTTTTGAATTTCAGGATGTTTTGATTAAAAGACACAGGTCACAACAGGTTTTTTCAAGGGTCCCTGAATTCTTGAGTTATAGTGCATGGACAGGCTTGGAGTCATCAGACCCCTCTTGTGAGTATCCTGACTGAGGAAAAGGAGAAAGAGGACCTATGATTGTATGCAATGCAGCATTACTTACCATCTGCTCGGCAAATAAGACTCTGTTCTGGGACGAGCGGGCAGGCCACACCCCAGGCACAGAGCAGAAGGGAGATTTTCCAAATGATAGGTTTTAAATCAGTAGCCCAGTGCCCTCAGAATCCAGGGTACCACGAGCAGCAGTATTCTCTGTGTGGCCATCAGAAGATGCTTCTTGAAATAGAATTTCCTAGGATTACATGACAGGAAAAACAAGCAACTCAGAACAGGTGGTCAGAAAAATAAAAACAAAAATAAAACATTTCGGGGAGATGGAGGTGGGAGAATTAATCCCTGTGCCCTGAAAGGTGATTCTGTGCAGCTGATCTGGGAAAGTGCTGAAGCAGTGTAACACATGGATGTGAAATCATACCAGCCATGTAACCTTCTGAAGAAGAGTTGCATGTCTCCCTGTGTCACAAGGATGGCATGTGGAATCAGTGATCTCATGCATGCAAAGCTCCTGGATTACAGCAAGGGTTCAGTTGATGAGAACTCTTTTTTTATAATCCAACATTCCTTCAGTAACTCACAAAGGCCAGCATTGGCCTCTCATTGCCTACAGGGTCAGTTCCAGTCTCCTTAACTTGATAGTCACATCTTTACAAAGTTTCCCTGCACAGATTCATCCTCCTTTACTTGTCTCAGCCAGATGTTTTTAGTAGCTTGTCTCTGCCTGCCTCAGCGCTTTGGCCCCAGGTATTGCTTTTGTGGGAGTTAACACCATTTTAGCCAATTCAGGTCTCATGGTGCATTCAGGTCCCAGGTAGTTCACAGCATCTGTGAAGCATGGCTGCTGGGTGCCTGACTCCTTCACATCCATTTTACAGTGACTACCTGGTGAGCTGCTCATGGGTTTACTCAGTTTCAAGATGGATCACAGGATCTTGGTGTGCTGGGTCTAGATTATAGGCTCAACATCCCCATCAGTGTCCAGTTCCTGCTAAGTCAGTGGGACAGCAGCTTCGTCACTGGGCCGAATAGAGCGCAAATTTCAGTGCACTCCACTGCTTCATAGGATGTGGCTTTCAGCAGTTCAGCTGATCTTTCTGAGCCTCAGTTTCCTCAAGTAAAATGAGTAATTTAATGTCTTCTATGTAGAGTTCTTATGAGTAGAGATGATTTACATGGAGCACTTCCCTGGCATATGGAGGTGCTCAATATATGGATATTTTTTCAATATTGATTTACAGAACTGATGCCCGTGGATTTGTTGTACCGTATGACCATGGTGCTATTCATTTCTTTTCTCTGCAGCTCTACAGCTCTACTGAATTTGGGAGAAGGTGGCAACTTGTCCAAGAAGGAGTGGTACCAAACAGATTCTACTGGTAAGTCTCACTTTACCTTCTGGCATCCTTAGATATCACTTAATGAGGATTGTGTCACAGATTTCTTGTTTTTCCCAAAATCAATGAGATTCATTAGCAGCAGAAGCTGTATGAGTGTTGCTTGTTAGGTTTTGATCAATATTTTAAGCAGATTTTTTTAAATAATGAGTTTTAACACTAAAACATCATATATGCATATAAATACTAAAATATAAATACTAATATGCATATAGTTCTAAAACATCATATATGCATATAAAGGCTTCCAAACAAATAAGTAGGTTTTATTTGGTCCCAATGTAGTAGATTTTCATCCTATTCCTGATTCCAGCTCATCTGGCTCCCTCCCCAGTCTTGTGGAACTCAACCATGAGCCCCAGTCACTTCCTAGGCTGCCAAAAAATTTATAAATTACTAATGTTTATATGTGATCTCACTTTGCTCAGGCTACTATAACAAAACACCATAGACCAGAGACTTATTACAGTAGATAACATATTTTCCCAGTCCCGGAGGCTAAGAAGTTCAAGATCAAGATGTTTTAATGTCATTCCTAGTGAGGGTCCTTTCCATAGCCCTACCATGCTACAGAGGGAGAGTTCTGGTATCTTTTCCTAGTCTCATTTGGATTCTGATTCCATCATGGAGACCTCACTTTCATGACCTCATCTCAAAAAAATTAACATCCTGAAAGCCTACTTGCAAATACCAGCTGAAAGAAGATTAGAGGTTAGGGCTTCAACATGAACATTTTTTAGGGGGACACAAATATTCAGTTCACAACTATGTATTGGAATATTTGTACTTAGCTAAGAATTAAGCTAAGCCTACACCTTATTGTTTTGGGGACTATGGTATTAACAGAGTGTGTCCTCTTGTTTTAGATAGTTACATATCATCTTACTCTGGTGTATAATTGGAGGGAAATCTGAGCATATATTTAATGTAAAACATAAGTTCTATTTGTTGGTGGGATGTGTATGTGGGAAAAGAGAAACATGGGAGGTGGTAATGGAGAAGAAGGGAAAAAGAATTAGAGATGAACAAAGACAAAGAAAACAGTATCCTTCACCTCCTAATTAGCCGGAACTTTTGTCCCTGGGAGTGGGTGATTAAACTTGAAGATACAGAAGCTCATATTGGCTTTTGCGTTTGCCAGGGCCTAGTTCACAGCTAGATAAGAACAAAATTGGAGCATCCCAGGTATTGCAGTATGACTGCTCAGTTCCTTTTGAATTTTCACCCTGACCTTACCCAAAAGGTGCTACTTGCTGACCTGTAATGTCTGTCCTGTTTGTGGCAAACACATATCGGGTTTTCTAGGCTTTGCCCAGATAAACAGTGCTGCAAGTGACTGACTTAGACGGAGCTCACACAGCCTTACACTGCTCAGAATCATTGAGGCAGGCAGCTTTGGGAAGCCAGTGGCCTCCTCCTCTAGGGCAGTGAACGTCTCTGCGCTCTGTGTTCCCTCAGTCATGGACATTTGTCCACCTGTACTTCCTGCAGCACGTGCCACCAAGGTTCACAGCAGCCCCCAGTTAAAACATGCTTCCTCCACATCTGAGGGACTTCGAGAATGCATTTTTATCTTTCTCATTATCAAAAACTTCCCTAAATCCCAGGGGGAGTTTAAAACCAGAGAAGGGCATTGGAGAAATCTCTTAAAAAGCAAATGACCCTGTCTGGAGAGTTGGAGAAAAGACATTTGCAAACAAACAGACTGGAAGGGAAGCCAAACCTTCCCGCTTGCTCTGAGGCATCTTCAGCCACAGTTTTGTGTGGAGAAGCTCATCTTCCTCTCCCTAGGGATAGCTGAGCCTGGCTCCCAAAACCCTAAGGCATCTTTGGGCCCAGGAATCCACCTGTGCCTTTCCCTCAGTTTCCTTCCTCCAGTCGGCGTCTTATTCTCCCCTGATTATTCATTTTGCTTCTTACTTGCAAAACATCTTCATGCTGCATTTTGTCAAAAGGTTATAAAGTTGATTTTAGGAAATCCTATGCCTTTTTTTCCCCATCCTTTTCCTTTCTGGGTACTCTCTGTGCATCAAAATGCCACAGAGAATAAATCAACGAAGGGGGCTCCACACAGCTTATTCTAGGAAGGAGGTGATGCTTTGCCAATAAGGAAGTATGGGTGGGGGGCAAACTCTTGTCTGGTCTCTAGGTGCCCACAAATGTCTGCACACAGTATCCAATGTCAGAGCACTGGGAAGAAGCTCGTTCTGCTATTGGAAGCAAAGGAAAGAGTAGACCTAAAGGGACAGATGAGGGGAAGGAGTCAGGATGAGGACATTCCCATGTGGCCTCATGAGGTGCAGGCTCTTCCCTCACAGCAGGTCCTGTTTACATATCTGACATCACCGGCAGGCAGGTGAGCTGACTTCAGTGCCTGCATCATGCTGATTACTCTGCCAGCTTGGCTATTTCTGGGAGAGGGATCTTTGCTCAGAAAGTGTGCGTAGCAAAATCCTGGTAACCAGATGTAAATTATCATCTTTGTAGAAGTATTAGACATTATTGTTTATAAAATCTAATTAACCTATCATCTAAAGTAAATCTTCCTATCTTTTCCTTTGGAACAGAGAGACACATCTTTCCCAATCAAGCCTTGGCACTGTGATAAGCACTTTTCAAACTTAATCTATTTCATCCTTATAGTATCTTCATAAGAAAGCTCTTTAATAATACCATTAACCAATGAGAAATTGATAGCACAGGATGTTGAGTAATTTGGCCAAAGTCACACAGCTAGAAAATGTGAAAGCCAGGATTTAAATTCAGGTTATTGTCTCCAAAGCACATGATCTCCTAAACCAGTAGACACTACTACCTCGGCCTCTTGGCCTTTTTTTCCTAGAATTGGAGCCCTGGAAGTCCAGTCCACTTAGGCAGCTGAATGGTGAAAACTCAAAGCCCTATTGGCTGCTGGACCTTTTTATGCATCTCTCCTATAGGATGTGGCAAACAGCCCCCCATAAATACCATAGGTTCATATGTTTTTTCCAGAGAAGGTATAAGACCTTGGTAATTGCACAGTTTTATGGCTATTGATTTAACAAAAAAGAAGAAGAAAGAAAACAAAAATATCTCTTGGTGTCTTCCCACATGGTCTGTATTTCTGACTTGAAGCTACCTCCTGAGGGCTGAATGAGAATTCAGCCATCAAAGCAATGTATATTACACTCAGTCCTGGAAACCAATTGCTTCAGCTTAAAACAGAAAGTATGAGACTGATTTAGAATTGTTCAGCCAGTTTAACTGAAAGATGCTCCCGTTAAGCATTTCTGCCCAGATCCTGGCTTTGGAGGTGTAGATGGCCAAGAGGGATTTCTCCAGCTGAATCATTAAGTAGGACAAGGATAATAATGTAACATTTTCCAGAGAAAATGAGTAAGAAATAACACTTCTTCCACATCACCTAGGTTTACAGAAAAACCAGTATCAAACTGAATGGAAGACTCTGGACCAAGGAATCTAGAAGGCAACTTATTTGTTACACTAGAGGGCTGGTAGGACCAAGTCCAAATCATGAGCCATGAGTCACTTTAGTGTTCAGTTTAAATGCAGTTTGCAAGCAGGAAATACAAGGCAGATGGCAGGTTGTTGTTACATGATTGGTTACAAGAATTTGATCAAGTCACATATTGTCAGGCAAGCTAAGTGTAAATAGATTTATTTAAAAGGAATTGTTTACCATAATGTAGGAACATCCTGGGGACGAGAGAAGGGGTTCGAGCAGAGCAAGCAAAGTTAAGGATGTCCTTGATTGAGCCATTTTGTTCCTTACGTGACCTTGCAGCAAGCTGGAAACAATACATACTCTTTTAATTTGGAGAATACAAGCTGAACATTGTCGGTCTGACCCAGAGCATTATCAGAAGCAAAGCAGTTGGACTCAGACAGTCAAGGCTGACTGAGTTTAGCAGGGTACTTACCTGACAAACAGCAAGAGCATAGGCAGAGTCCCCCATTTGAGTTTTAACTTGCTATAACATGTCTATAAGTTTGCTATTTTATATCTGTGTCTTCATTATTATATAATTGGGTCCTTATATTTCCCTCTGGTTTTGTTATAGAGGAGAATCTTTTTTTCTCAGTTTCCCCAGTCTCTTTAGTACTAAGCAGTTGGTAAGGGGAAACAACCTGTAAAAGGAGTTTGTCTGATCCTGTAGCATGTCTGTGAGATTTTTATATTGGCAAAACCTCCAGCAATCTGAGCATTTAATTGTGAATATTTCTGTGGGCCTACACCCAGAGCTGTAGCATTGTCAAACTCCCTGCTGTGTGGTTTCAGTGGGTATGGGCAACATCATTGGGTCACATTTTTTACATGATCGAGGGCACATATGGTCCTCACTGCCCTGACCAAACAAAGAGATCAGCTACCAGAAGAGCAGGTATACAAAGACTCATGTTGGTGCTATTCAGACTTAATGTAACCAATCAGTGCAAACAAAGATATCTCCAAGGGGACTGCCCAAGAGCCTGAGGTGGCAGGCAGCAGATCTGTGTAATCAGCAGAAGCACTGTGGCCTTCACTGAAACCTAACATGCAGGAAGTGATTCCCCAAACTCCTGCTGGATGGGGCCAAAGCAGGCGATCAGGAGCACTAATTGCATTAAGTTCAGGATTATTGAGAGTGAAACCTAAAGCTCAACAGGAAAGGACTGAAAGAGGGACACAGGGCCAACAGGCTTTGCTGGAGTCTGAGTCTACTGCTTGATGGACCCAGTGATACCATTAACAAGATGGAGGAAGTGGGAAGTTGGAGTCCCCCATAAGGTTTGTTACAGGTGTAGGGACCAATGGACATGTGGACGGTCTTAAGGAAGGAGTCTTAATGCAGGGCAGGGACACAGGGGATATCTAGACCTTTATGAGTTTTAAAATTAGCATTGGGTCTTGTCTTTGTTGTCTACCTGGACTTTTATCCACTGGCCTGATGACCAGTCTCGGTGGGAGGGATCTGGAATACTACTGTGAGGGGTTACGAGCT